ACAGAGGTTTCAGCTGCCCTCAACACCACCTGAGACAGCCGACTCCCCATCCCAAGACACATATTCTGTACCATGGCACAAATTTCCCTCAAAAGTCATGGATGAGTTGCGTGAAAAGAAGTACATAATGGGGAAAGAGAGACGAGAGATGGTTCGGATCGTCGCTGAAGATTACCTCCATAAACACCCAGGAAGACCTGGTAGACAAAAGCTGAGGGAACTCGCCAGTATGATTGTAGGACAATATCCTGCCTCCTTCAAGCTGACAGAGCCGTTTGGAAACAAACCTTTTGCAAAAGATGGTTCTGAAACTCTCTTTCGTCAGCTGGAACACAGAATTGAAAATATGAAGAGGCCACAAAGCTCACTGAAGAGGCGAGCAGGGGGTGAAAATTCAACAAAGAAAAGGCCCAGGAATTCAGATCTGTATGGATGTGTGGCGTGGGATCCAATCATTGAGGGGACTGTGTGTAGAGAAGACCTGCTGTCTAAACGAGATGACTTGAAACGTGCCTTTCAAACCCGGGATCTTCAGGTGGGTCTGCAATCATCCATTACAGATACAGATACAGAAAGCTTTATTAATCCCCGAAGGGCAATTCAGTTTCTACAGTTTGACTAACTGTTTGACTGTTTGTCTAACTGCCTCATATCTTTAGGAGTCATCTGTTCGAAAATTGATGACTGAAACATATCCCATTCAGCGTGAAATCCTCAACGATGATACCCCTATTGCCGTTGTAAAGGACGAGTGGCCATTCCTGTTTGAAGTTCCTCACCTGTTTGATCATGCATCTAAACTCCTTGGCTTCTCTGTACAAAACAAGCTGGCACAGGTGTGTTGTTACTGTTATTATTATGATTGTGCTGTGCTGCTCCATATGGAGAGAATTTTGTCTTTATTAATCAATCAAAAAAAGATTTGCAACCAAAAAGAGAGTTGAGACCAAAAAAGATAAACTGGCAACCAATCAAATAGAATAAATTGGATGAACAATCAAATAGAATAGATTTGAGACCAAAAATCAGGAAGTGGCAACCAAAAAAGCAGAACATTTGAGATCAAAACAGAACAGGTTGCAAATGAAAAAATACGATTTTTTCTTTTTTTCTCCAAAATTCTCTCCATAGCTCCAAACGAAAATGAGTGTTAGTCTTATGTACCTGTACAAAATTAACACCTTGAACCTTGAACAGGAACTTTCCAAAAAAGAAAAGGGGATCAATGACTTCCTTGACTCCAAAGGGGTGAAGACGGGCGAAGGTCCAATACAGCTCATCTGTGGCATTACAAAATACTTCAAGGAAGACTCTTATAAACTCTTCCACAAAAAAGAGGTAGATGTTTTAGATTTTAAACTGTGTGCAAGATAATTATTTGCATCCAGTGGTGAACCAAGTAACCAACCACAGTAAGAAGTATAGATTCCCCTAATTGTGCTGCTGAGATTCTCTATAAACTCTCTCTCTATAAACTATTTACATTAATGTCTGTGCTTAATGGCTACCTCTGTCTGATGAAGACACTAGCAGATAGTCAATTTGCCAGCAGGTTTGTGTGCACTGGAAACATTAATTCATGTGTCATGTCTGTCACCAAAACAGATCTCTGCAGATCCTGAAGTCGAACTCCCAGTGACCCCATGCATCCTAGTCAGAGGTTTGTAGTTAAATCTTTTTTGAATCCCAGCAAGCTGTTTTATAAGCTGTTGTTTTGTCGTATTTATTAAAGAAATGTTTTGCTTGCCTTAAAATATAGGATTTTTTTTTTTGTATATGGTACATGGTTTTTATCTGTGTTTAAGGTGACCAGCAATTCAAGATTGCTGTTGATGGGTTACTTGTCAATGACCACATCACCTCTCCCATTGTGGCCTTGAGCTACGTCTTCTCCATGTTTTATGTCTGCAACGTCCAATACCCACCGGAGATGGCTTTTACTCTCGAATTCATGCAAAGGTAAGCACTCATTGTTTGGAAATACTTGTCACATGTAAATGTGACTTTGCCGTGCCTTTCTGCACCCGACCTGCTTTTTGTCAATCTACACCAAACCCCTTTGTCTGAGATGTACAAGCTTAAAATGTGTCGCCACATGCTGTGAGCTTTTAGATCAGCTGTTATTGGCTTATGATCCCCCTGAATGTGGATTTGTTTGTAGATTTCATAGCTCCCTGTTGAAGACTATTGTTGGAATAACTGTGTCATATTTTTTTAAATGGCAGGTAACATGCTTTTTGCTTTACATAGTGTCCTAAGTCAATCAAAAACAAAACAAACATAACATGATTCTAGTTGGGAAATGGAGCAAAAACATATTTTTCTGAGAATGGTTTCTTGACACAAAATTCGTTTGAGCTATCTCTTTAAAACCATTAGCACCTGAGACCAGGTTATGTCAGTGTTGGTCAAACCTTTTCATGTCAAAGACACACAAACTGAAATGTATTTGGCTGCAGACTCCAACCTCAAAATATGTTGTTCCAGGGACCCCCCCAGAAGCAAAGACTAAACATATTCATTTAAAAAATAATACATGCTGGATTCATGCCCAAATGTTGATGCTTTGATGTGTAACATGCACTGAATGTCACAGTTGCTCCACTCCATGTTTGAATAACCCCCAGGACAGTCCGTGTTCAAATGTGCTGTTACACCTTTTGATAGGACGATGTCAACTGTGTTTTCTATCCCCTTCTGTGTTCTGTGCATTTATAATATCCCTGCATACACGTTGAGGATGCATGCTGTCATGTGTTGGTGATAAGCAGACTTCTCGCCCTTGCAAACATTTCTGTATATGCGCAGTGTGAATGCATGTGTCTTGAAAAGACAAAGGAAGAGATAAGCTTAGCCACTGGCACCAGCACCACAACAACATTGGGTACTAGACAGATGGTCTACAAGAATGATAGAGAGGTTCACACATAGGGGCATATTGAAGAAAACAAATGTATGATTTTATTGAACTGCTCCACTCCTGTCAAGCCACACTACACGTGCAAACTTTGTCTGCATATCACTATTATTATTATTTTTTTCTCAGAGTTTTCTTTGGGATCAATCCTGAGCGAGGCTCCAAGGCAGAGAAGAAGGGGAAGAAACGGCACTTCATTCCTCCACAGGTGTGCAAGCTGGTTTCTCAGCTGAAGGAATTTGAATGCAAGCAGAAGGAATCTGAGTGGGCCATTTGAGCTGTTCTCAAAGCTCAGAAAATACCTTTTTGGACTGAATGTACACACACACACACACACACAAAGGCAAATCCAAAAACATGGGGCTTGGGAGTAGAAATACAGATTTTTACAGTATTATGTGAGTTCAGATGTTTTAACTAGATGCCCACAACACACATGCTGCAGTTTCAAATCCCCCATGTTAAGGGGGAGGGAAGGTGGGCAATATTTGTCATTCCAGGTAGAGCTTTGCCTGTCAATGTGGAGTTGGAGGTGTAAGTTTTAAGTTGTTTTAAGTTTTAAGTTGTTTTAAGAGTTTTAAAAATCTCTTTATGGCATGTTGCACAGAGTCATCCTTCTAAGGTCATGGTTATTATTGCTGCACTGATGTTTTATAGAAAAGTTGTATAATGTAATACTTCTAATGTTCTATTTGTTTTTTGTAGAAAGGTCAGACACTGGTTGCAGAGCTCTGCCTGTCGGTGTGATATGTGGAGTTGGAGGTGTAGGTTTCTGCATCCTCCTGGAGGGGGCTCCTCATTTTGCACTGACAGGTGAGACAGCAACAGCAATGCTGGCAGTTTTATTGTCTTATTTTGTCAATGTCTTTAACAAATCAATTTGTTATTAATGCCTGTCAGCCTGTGGGTGCTAAAAAGTTGCTAGATTTGGCAGCTCCCTGTTAAAAGGACATGGCTGTAGTTCTTTGAGAGAGCAGCTGGTTTATGTATGTAAAATTGCTCTGAATGTGAAGGTGATGTTCTGAATGTTTTAATGGTTGTAATGTAAATATTGCAATTCATTCACCACAAAAAATGAAATCACTTTAAAGCACTGGCAGCTGTTAAAGGAAATAAATAATTGTTGTGATTCTACATTTGTGCTTTATTGATGGTAAACGGTATAGAGAACTGTACGGAATTAAACATTTTAGGATGACTGAAGTGTCCATAAATGGTACGGATTGAGTACTTAAATACTATGGAATATTCCATTTAAGGTTTGATGGAAGTGTCCGTAAATGGTAAAGAAAAAGTCAGGTAAATCTACGGAATTATCTGTTATAGGGTTAACAGAATTGTCCGTACAATAACGCAAAAAATTACAGAAAATACGGAATTTTCCATTTTAGGTTTGACGGAAGTGTCCGTCAATGGTACAGAAAAACTCAGGTAAATCTACGGAAATATCCGTTTTAAGGTTTACGGAAGTGCCCGTACAATAACAGAAAAAGTGCTGGTAATTAATTACCAGCACTTTTTCAGTTTTTTAACGGAATTTTTTTTAACAGTGTGGTCTAGCCCTGCCTTGGTCTTGGTCTTGTCTTGGTCACTCCCTGCCTTGGTCTTAGTCTTGTTTTGGTCTCGCCCTGCCTTGATCTTGGTCTTGTCTTGGTCTCGATACATTCTGGTCTTGGTAATGACTTGGTGTCGGTTTAGGTGGTTTTGACTACATCACTAACATAAGCGTACATGCGATCATTTTGCAGATGTTTTTGGAGTGGCCACCGTGAACACTTTCTCGTCAATGAACCACCATTAGTCAACTTCATTGTCTGTGTACCTTGTCAGCGAAAGTTCTGACATGTTTAAGGTGTGGTGGGCAATATAATAATCACTTCGTTTCAAATTTAACTCTGTAACAGTGAAAGAATTTTGAAAATCTGTCAACATTTGCAAAGTTATGGGCAAAGGTACAGAGGTCCTTTATTGACTCACTGTGTATATAAAATAATTTCAGTAGACCTCAGAAACACTCTTTAAGTACTTCAGCACTTGGAATGCTTTCCTGTGTCTCGATAATGAGATTTTGATGGAAGCCTTGCTTTATACTCAAGATCTTTTGCTGTTTTTCTGTTCTTTCAGTGAGCTAGAGAGAAACTTAATGTGCTCTTTGTACAGATTGCTACCAGGTAGTTATTATTCATTTCAGTTATCTGTCATTGCGAAATGTTTTTCAAGATAAATATGTTTCAGAACCTCTGTTCATTTCTTGCATATTGGACAGGTTGGTTTTAAGTTGGATCCACTCATTACAATAGAAACTCATCCGTCCGTTTCTCCTGAAATTTTCTATTGCTACAGTGCAATATTTTTTTCTTTTTTATATTACGTTAATCTCCTTGGTAGTTGTGTCAGAGACATCACTTGGCCATGGCTCACGTTCATTTGTGTCTCTTTTTTAAGGTTAAACTGTAAAAGCTTGTTTTTTTCCCCTCTCTGATCACTTATATAAGTTGTTTTTCACAAATGACTTGTTTCTCATGAAAGAAGTATCCTTGTTCTTATGTGAAAGAATCCTCGTTCTGGGATGCTTACCCTATTCAAGGACGTTTCCCTGGGTTTTGGAGGGGCTTGCTGAAGACAGGGAAAGGTGTTGCTCAACATGTTCTGTACACCATTGGTCAGTGTATGAGACACCTGCCTTATCTTCATGGGAAGGGAAAGCATTGCTCAAGGATACTCATCTAATTATTTTGGGAACTGCACCTAGTTGGTCAGTGTGTGTAAAATGCTTACCCCCATCCTTAGGAGGGAGGATACATTGATTATAGAAACTTGTTTTGTCACTTCTGATTGAAACTGCAGGCGGCATTACTCGGACAAAATTGGAAATTTGAGAATGCATTGCCTGAGAAGTCTAAGAGTGAGGGTAGGTGATGATGGCACGTCCGAGTGTGAATAGCTTTGCAGTGTCAATTTTTTGATTCAATCAATTATCACAATAACCATAATATCAAGTTGCACTCTCTATATATGCATGTTTCGATTGTCACTTTTTATACATGCCTATAATCACTTGTATTGGCGGTTTTATTATTGTTAATGATATATAATATTATTGGATAGCACTTGTGATACGGGATTATTTTGCATTGCCTTTGATCCAATGTCTTGGTATTGATTTTAATGCAAGGTTATTTTGTATTGCTTGTAATACATAGTTTTTAGAAGCAAACCTGTGCCTGTTTGTTCCTTTGAGAGCCCTATATCCCCCTCACATCATCTTAAAACAATCCATCTTCTCTCCACTTATCCTGATCCAGGTCTACAAAGGGGGCCTAGAGCATATCCAAGGCACACAGGGCAGAGGGCAGAAGTTCACCCTGTAAATTAGAATTTTTACATTTTGTTCATTTGACTTCTTCTGCTGGCCCTTGGAAGATGGGGTTCCCCTTTGAGTTTGGTTCCTCCCAAGGTTTCTTCCTTCTTGGGAGTTTCTTGCCACTGTTGTCTCTGGCTTGCCCACTTGTGGCTTTGGGCAGGGATAATGTAAAGCACTTTGAGACAATGAAATGTTGTGAAAATGTGCTATACAAATGAAATTGAATTGAATACACCCTAGATGAGAGGCACACACACTCAAAAAAATGAACAAGGAAGGTTGTGCACTTTACTTACTATATTTATATTCAGTTTACTTACAATAATTGTGTTTGTTGACTTGAAATATTTTTTTCTATTAAGGTCCACGTAATTATGTCTCAACTTGACTGTAAAAAATCCTGATGCGTTGTCTGAACACAAAGCATTTATGTTAAGTTAAAAATTCTTACATCCAGAAGGTGGCAGTATAGTGAGACGCTAACTGCCATGAAAAACCCCAAAGAAGAAGAGCAGCAAGACGAGTCAGACCCCCTGAAAAGGTTTTCATCAATTGGTTTTGACGTCTTGCCTTTTCGACAGCTGGTAAAGGTAGGAGGATTTTCGTTTTTGCACCAGTATTGTTTTTTTTGTTTGTAATAAGAGATATGTTCTTTATTTTGGCCTGCTTTAGTTTCAGCGAGTTCTAGTGTCTTAGACATGCTTAAGTTAGAATGCTAGCTTAGCCACGTGGCGCAGGTTGGTCCGTTGCATATTTCCATTATCTGGGCGAAAAGAAAAGTAATAAGAGATAGTTCATGGATTAAAGTTCTCCGTCGCTATGATGGATTTCCGTTTACTGGAGCGAGTTACGACGGATTTTTTTTCCATCAATTGCAGGGTTCCTGACTCATTAATGTCTTATATTCACTTTTTATAATTTTAAGGCTGTAAATATAATTACATTTCTCATAGTGTAATAAATGCATTACTTTCAGTTTGAAAAGACGCGGCATATTCAGCCTGCTGAGTGGGATGTAATCACAACCTGGAGTGGATTAAAAGTACGTTCTTCTCTCTACTCTAAGGGTTTTGTTAATCGCTCCGCTCCTTATCCACTCTGGGTTTTCCATTCCCGCTCATGGAAAAACCGCTCCACTCCATTTTTATATCATGAACGCCTGAACGCAACATTTATAATGCTATATAAGTTTTTTTTTCCTTTTTTTCTACTAAGGCATAAAAATACAATATGTTTGCAAATATATTTAAGAAACAAAGTTAACGTACTTGCTAATTTGAAAAACAATGCTACAGTCATTCTCCATTGAAACTGCGATACTAAGTTCAACCACTAGCTGCCCATCCAATCTAAAATCTCCTGTCAAAATTAAGTGATTAATATTTGGTTTGAAACTTTATTTTTTTTCCAATTTTGTTGTGATACTTTAAATGCACATTACAAAGTGTGATTATCTTATTGGCTTGTGTCATTTCAGATTAATTTAATTTCACAAAATCTTTATCAAATTGTCTGAAGTTTTTATCCTTTGCATTTTTTCAGGTCCTTACTGAAGGGTGTGTTCCTGCCAAGGTGCTTTACTCACAATAGGTAAGATCTGTAACATCTACTAATGTAAATACTGTTTCTTGCATGACCATTTTATTTTTTTAGTTCCAAGTAGCTTGTTTCTGTTTGTATCCTGTTTACTTTTAATTATCAGTAGCAATTGATAAATTAGTTTTTAACAGATTATATAAATGTTTTAAATTATTATTTTAAGTCATATGCTATGTTATTTGTAAAACTTTTCTAAAAGATTTTTTTTTTGCAAGTCAAGGTTCTTTTAATTAATTTATGTGGTGTGTGTGCTTGTTATAGATACTGAATGTGGCAGTGTAAAGGTTGCAGTTCAAAGACCTCAACTAGATGTCAGTTACTAAAACATTATAGGTTAAAACATCCTCAATATGGGCGTAGGCACCCATATCCTTGCCCATATACTAGTTGTCCATGTACATTCAAGTCATGGAATGCACTTAGATCACACCTTTGTAGAGTCCATAACAGAGACTCATCTCAGCAAACAACATCATTGGCTACATTCAGATGTCAAGTTTGTTTATTCGCAAAATTTCTGCCCCCCCTATCCTGCTGGAGAGACCCAGAACAGCCTTGAAGGCGAAAGAGTGTCACTGTTGTCCGAGGTCAAAAAAAGACGCAACAATGCAGTTATCAAGGAGAAGATGGCCAAGACCTTTGCGTATAGGAGACAGGAGGTAGTCAGGGACAAACCCATGATTGCAGAGTTCAAGACCAGATGGCCAGGACTGTTTACTGTGCCTGAGGTATAAACTGCTTCTTAAAACATCCATAATCAATGTTATATAATGCATCAAATGATAGTGTGAAAGAATTATAGAATACAGTAATATCATGTTACATGGTATTTTTACTAAAATATTAGTATACACCAATGACAGGTTCTTTGTGTACATTTATTTAAAGGTGGAAGCAGAATTTTTAAGGATTACCACTGTTCCCCTCATCACAACGTTTTTTGCACAACTTGACCACCATGCTGATCAGCTCATCAGAGTGCTGAAGAAGACGGGTGGATCTAAAGGGAAGAAAATTGACTTCACCTTTGCCCCGACTTCACAGGTATAGTGTTCTTCTTTTTAGAACACATTTAGGAATAAGTAAATTTGGTCTAGTCTGTGTTGCCATTTGTCAGAAACCAATAATATCTGCAAATGCACCGCATATGAATCAAAATTTATTTGATTGTATTTCACAAAGCTTCTGAGATTAACAGTGAATTTTTTCCCTTTAAACAAATTTCTATTTTGCATTTACACTACGTACTATGGATAAATAACCAGAATTTTGAGGAAACTTATGTAGTGACATTCAGAAGGACCAATCAAAGTTACAAGCAACAAAAGAACAGAACTACTATTATTGCATAGTACCACCAACACGATGATCATTCACTCTGCAGTTTCCTCAAAAAGCTTCCCTTTTCACTTTTTTTTTTGGGAGTATAGGCCTGTCGCAATGGTCAATATATTGACCTTTCGCACGATATATGTAAAGGAGCGTGATCGTTTTTGGTGCTGCGATTATTGCCACTGATAATATTTCATTAGAGGATAAGGTATATTTGTTCACATTTCTCATTCCAGTATCTAAATATTCTTACGAATAAAATGTTCTTTGAAAGAGTGTACTTGCATTATAATGCTATTTTATCATTATACAGTCATTACGCAATCAGTGGCATAAAAAGGTCTTAAAATGGCAATAATTTCATTTATCTCAATTAATTGTAGTGCAAAATATTGCACAACAAAGAGTAGTTTTCGTGACAGCCCTACTTCAGAGTATTCTGTAATTAAGTAATCATTGAACATTATTATAACCATTGATAATGTTTGTATAAGTACAGTAAATGGTCATTGTACATGTGCCTACTTTTATAGTTAAAGTTTCACCCATTTCCAATAATTTTAAAAGTGTAATAAGTTTATAGTATTTATGTTGATGCTGCTTTTTTCCTATTTAGAATGAAACTGTTGAAAAGAAGAGGGAGTGCCTCCTCAGGGCACATTGTATCTATCTAAATGAAGATCCAAGCAGTCTCTTCCAAGAGTATCTGGTAGATAATACTAACAATTACTGCAGCAGTAACAGTATCCTACGGCTTTTAATTATATCACAATATCCATGCAGCATTGTGGGATGTGGCTTTTAGGAATGGCAATTTTGGTCTAGACCAACATCACGAAATCATGATTTATGGCAGAGTTGCTATATTAGATGACATTAGGTCATACAGGTGTACTTAATTAAGTGGCCAGTGAGTGTATAAATTGTGAGAAATCAAGTTAGTAAAGCACTATTTTTAAAACATTTATGGAGAAAATTGTAATGCAAATGAGCTCTTTGGAATTATGTAATTGGCTGGTGATTTCATTGTTGTCTTGTGTGTGTGGAAAGGATTCAGATGGCAGTGCTGCCCAGAGGGACCTTGAACAAGTTGTCTTTGGCATCTACAGTATTAATGCTGATGGAGGGGATGGCACCAACACTCCAGTTGATGTTGGAATAGTGATTGAGGGTGTTGAAGTGCTTCAGGGCTTGGGAGACATCGCTTCTGCATGTGCACTCTTAATGGGTGTCATATATGCAATGAACCTCAGTTATCCTCAGGAACTGAAAACGTTCTTTGAGGTGCTTCAGAAAATCTTCCTCCAGCTGGATGCTACCAGACTCTCAACCAAAGTACAGATGCTTAAAAACAAACTGTATGAGTGAACATTGAGCATGTGTGCGTTTAACATGAAGGCCTGCTTTGCACTTGAAAAAATTTAATTGAAAAACACTTAAGTTTACATACCTTTTTTTCTTTCTTTCTTTTTTGTGTGGCACGCACCACTGTTCTGGGTGACATGTTTCTTTGTCATGTGAAGCGTGTCCAGATTTTTCATTATTTTTTCTACAGCATTAATGCTGAGGGAGGTGATGCCACCATCACTCCATTTGATGTTGGATAGTGATTGAGGGTGTTGAAGTGCTTCACAACTATTTATTTTTTTTTGGTGTGACATGCACATGTTCTGGGTGACATTTCTTTTTCATGTGAAGTGTTTACAGATGCTTAAACTGTATGAGTGATCCAATGTTGAGCACTTAAAAATTTGTGGCATTAACATAAAGGCCTGCTTTGCACTTGAAATCAGTTAATTGAAAAAACACTTGAAAGATTATTACCTTTTCTCTTTTTTTTGTGACATGCACCACTGTTCTGGGTGGCATGCAGTGTCCAGAGTTGTTGTTTATTTATTTTTGTTATTTTATTTTTTTAAAGGTAAAGATAACCAAACCAAATTTGAATGCTGCCATGTTTAACAGTTTTTTTTCCTTTTGTAAAACAAAATTTGATAAACCCTTGTGTTGGTGAATAAAGGAACTAACAAATGTTG